CTCAAGTGCAGAAAAATAAGCGGCTGCTAACGCTCGGTGAAAGCCCCGTGCTCAGGGAGCAGCCGCAACGTGGCTCCAGCAATTCTGCTGCGTGCCATGCACCTCATTCCACCTCTTCATCAACTCACTTATTAACTGATTTTGCCAGCGAGAAGCCCCTCTATGAAACACGGAGAGAAAGAAGGGGATGTTTCCATTTTGCCTGAGATCAAAGGCAAACAAGAACGCAAACTGTAGCATATTGGGGGTATTTTTTGCACTGCTATCTTTCATACTGGGCTATCTAAGTTTCAGGCAGTCCCCCAGCCCGGTTGCACATGGAGCTTGCTGCATACAGCTTCATTACACAGGAACATCCCCGCGCTGCGCCGGGCAGCGCGTTCACACGCGCCCGCGGGAGCTCGCACCTGAGCGCGGCCCGGTCAAGCCCGGCCGTCCCCGCGCGGGGGGACCCGATGCTCTAGGGTGGCTCTGGCAACGTCCTAGACGGGCCACGCAGCCTCCTCAGGTTTGCAGGCACCTTTTTTTTTTTTTATAAAAGAGGGAAAAGTCACCACAACGTGGGTACTGATGCCCAGCACGGTGGGCCCGAAGCCGCCACCCCAACAGCAGCCCAGCAGTATTAAGTACAACCCCCATGTACCTGCAGCACGTGAGACAAAATAGGCTCGTTAGGCCGGGGGTGAAAAATAAAACAGGAAAAAAAATGAATAAACCAGTTAATTTTAGGGCCACGTTACAAGGAGGAATATAGGTCTTAACGTATGAAAATATATGAGCTCCACGTATTTTATGAACTTCTGCAATTTCCCTGAAATGGACCCATAAAACCGAGCCCTCCTCGGCTGCGTGCGGCACTGCAGCGCGGGCCGTGCTGAAAATGAGAGCTCTGCGGAGGAGAGCGCTGCTGACAGCCACGGCCCAAAGGAAATCTGAACAAGCAGAAAGGTACTACGGATCCCCAGTGATTAGATCTCCTGCTAAAAAAAGTGGCCAAGTGCCAGCCCGTGTCCAGCTTGATRCTAAACACCTCTGCTTGCACAAAGCTGGGGCTGCTGGCTGAAAAAACAGGCTGACGCTTCAAGAGAATTTTATCCAAAAATTCCCGTAATGAGGAAGCGGGCAGGCAAACAAATGAGGACGCTGCCTCCTCGATTGCCTTTATTATTCGAATTAAATAAAGAGGGAAGCCATGCACCGAGGGCTGCACGCGCAGAACTGTGTCATGCTAATAGGTCTCCTCCTCCTTAAAAGCAGTAGCGCCGGAATGGGGAAATCTGCAGGCAGGACTCGGGCCGCTCCCGGCAGCCTCGTTGCGAGGGGCTTGTGCAGGCGCTCGCCCCGCGCCTCGGCGCGCAGCGTGTGCCGCCCGCTCCGCTCGCGGCACCGAGCGCCGCTGGGGCGCACACAATGAGGGCAGGAACGCGGCGCGCGCTGCCGGAGCCTCCCGATTCGCGGGAAACAACAACAACAACAACAGGAAAGGGAGAGCGATCCAAGGAGCGCGACGCTGCCGGCGCCGCGCCGGGGTAGCCGTGCCGAGTGCGGGGAAAACTTTCTCCCCGGCTTCTGGTCTTCGCCTGAGCGCCTGMCTGCGCTGCCAATAAAGAGCCATTTTTATCCCGACTGCCTGCAACAGCGGGGCGAGGAAAACTACACAGCCCTCACCTCGTACGGGGACGGTATCGCTATCACGTGCTCGCTCCCGCAAAAAAACGCTATTTAGAGAAGGCGCCGGGGCGAGCAGACAAACTCTCGCCTCTTCTCTGCTCCCCCAGCGAGCAGCAACTTTCGCATCTCCTTCTTTTTCCTTTTTATTTTTTTATTGCGTTTTTCCCCCAGGAAAGCAAATTTCGCCGCCACCCAGGCCCCAGCGTTTAATTGAGCTTTCAAAAGTGCTCTGACAACGCCAACAATCRCCCGGCACGGCCGCAGCTCCGTCGCGCAATCACTGTGACAGTTCTATTTACCGTTTGTCTTAGAAAGAGTTTCTGCCACATTGTACTCGGACAAAACAGCCGGGCTGCCAGTTCACAACCTTTCCCTGTCTTATTTACCAATAGAGCTTGTAGGCAGCGCCGGCAGCCCCCGGGCAGGAGCCCCCCGAGGGCACCCGCAAAACCTGCCCCGCGCGGCGCTGCTTCGCCCGGCTCCCTGCCTCTTTGTAGCGAGGAAGAGGAGGCAGTTTCAGTTTTTCCGATTTTATTTTCCCCACCACTGCAGCTCTCATCTCGTTTGTCTGGATGTAACGCTAACTACTCCGTTTGCATGCTACTGGTTTTTATCTGGAACCAAAGAAAATTATTAATCCGGATTCTCTGGGTTCGACCTGCAGAATTACAGGGGCAACTCCTAATAACTCGCCGAGAAAATCTCTGTGGTGCAAACACTGGGCAGAGGCATCACCCGCTGGGAGTCCTAACGCTCCCACGGACCTGCTCTCAAATTCAGCACCAAGTTACATCCATTGCCCCTCTGACTACCAGAGACTGAGGCATTTCTTACATTTTTTTTTTCCCCCACGTGTTACATTTGAGCACAACAAGCAGATAAAGAAAAAAGGAGCCGGGCACTAAAACCCACCTCCCCTGCTCCTGCCTCCCCYCTCTGCACGGGAAACACGGGATCCACGGCACAGAGCCGCAGGCACTGACGGGAATACGTGCGGCTCTCCAAAGCGCTCCACCTGAAGCCAAGCAACATTTAAGATCTCTCTTCACCCCGTCCAAAAAAATAACCTTGCATTAATTCCCTCAGATTTATACGTTCGACAAACAAAACACCCAGTCCTGACACCGGTGCACTATAAATATTTCTCCAGCCTTTTCAATAAGTGAACAGCAATTTTACATTCACTGATCTCTAGATACTTCAGTTAATATTTCCCCCTATTGTAAAATATGAGCCTAGATCACTAAACCCCTGCCGTAGCACTCACTGCAAATCACAGGCTGCCGGTATCTGCCGGTGAGTGTTTGACATACATATTGATGAAAGCTGCCTCATTGGACCCACACAACATATCCTATTAATTTTCAGTTAAATTTATGGCATTTCAGCTGCGGCGCTGGATCAGCATCACTCAAAATTGGATATGGAGCCGGAGCGGCACGCGCGTCCGCCCACACAAAAGGGACAGGTAGGCAGCCCGGCGTGCATGCGCACCTCGCACACGCTGCACGCCTTGCACACGTGTGTGCCTGCACAGACACACGCATGTATACTATACATAAGCTATTGCAACCACTCCTGCCTTTGGGAGAGGGTGAGGATAAAGCCAAGCCTACCGACTCTTAAAACAGACATCATTTTCCCCTCCTATTTGAGTGAGTCAGTGCCTTGTTCCTTGTCTTTGGGTGCACTGATCCTTAACCACTGCTTATCGTGAGGCGATCTTTGACTGTAACACAACAACTTCTTACCTCCGAAGCGGCGCACGGAGCACTGGCCGTGCCCACAGCCAGCCTGCAACACCCCTGCCAGCAAAACAACTGCTGGGCTCCATTTGAACAGGTCTAAAATACACATTTCCTCGACTCGGAAAGAATCAGTCCCCTCAGCTCCTGCCTGGGTATTTTCCTAGGCGCAGCCTCTCTCCCTGATTCTCTTTCTTTTCTCTTTTTTTGCAGTTTTAATCACATACTTGGGTATCTTTCCTGCATTACTACAAGCAGTGCCTCCTAGTCGGCTCGCTCCGACTCTCCTGCTGCTCATTTTCCCACTGGCACCGGGGGACTCCGGGACAGGAGGTGGCCCAAGGGCTGTGCCCAGCGAGGCAGCCCTTCCCGCCCTGCCGCAAAGCTCGGCCCGCTCAACAGAAAAGCAAAATTAAAACCTAGCAGGCGGACGGATGGACGGATGGACATGAAAATCCCCCGGCAAGGAGCTCGCCCGGGCGGCCTGCTCGGGCCGTGCTGAGCCGCGCGCCTCTAATTCCTGCGTGACAGAGGCTGCGTTTCGTCTGCGCCGCAGGGCAGCTCGGCTCAGCTCAGCTCGGCCCTCGCAGCCCCGGCCCTCCCTATTTGGCCATGCCGAGGGCGCCGGGCACGGGCTCCCCTCGAGCGCCTCCGTGCCCAGGGCAGCGCGTGGCTTCGGCCGGCCCGCGCGCTCCGGGACGTGTGCGGTCGCCACCGCGAGCACCGCAGCCGTGTGCGGCCGTCGYGCGGCACAACGGGCCCGGCGCTCGCCGGGCGCTGCCAGGGCACCCTGGGCACGGCCCAGCGCCTTGGAGAAACAGGCCATGCCTGGGAGGCCTCCCAGGCCTCCCGCGATTTTCTCTCACGTAGTAAGTCTTATTTTTTTTAACCTCATTTGCTAAAATATTTACATGGTGAACAGCCTTCCATTTGCAATATATGTATATATATATACACACACACACACTCAGAAATGGAATTATTTACGCTTTTTTTTTTTCCCCTCTCTTTTTAAATTACATTTCATATTGTTCATTGCACCAAAGAGAACCCTGTCCTGGACATTTGTACGGATGACATGTGGCCRTGTAAACCACAAACAAAATCAAGATACATCTGTCAAAACCACATCAGAGGCAGGAGAGCGCACAGAGAAGCATTTATCACTGGGCTGAGGAGGCAGGCTGCGGAGAGCAGCCTTTCCTGTCAAACCAACCTTTTGAAATTTCCAACATGCCCTTAAACTTTCCGCAGAAGCATGCCTGCGCGCTCCAGCAACTGCCCTCTCTACTCTGGCCTGGCCAGTCGCAAATGGCATCTTAAAGTCAAGGTCGGTGGTGTCACTTTGCCATGGGGCTGTGTTTAATTACAGTCCATACGCTGACAGCCAACATGGGCGCGCGGCGGCGAGCGGATGCGCCGTTAACTCTTTCGCCCCCGGCTCCGCCGGAGCGGCCGCCCGCCCGCCCGCGTGCCGGGAAGCGCCCGGCGGCCCCGCGGGCGCCGCGCGGCCCTCGCACCGCGAGGGACACCCACCGCACGCGCCACGGCGCCGCGCGAGCACTTCTCCTGGCCGTGCTTTACCTGCTATATGCTCCTGCTTAGGGCAAATTCCTCGAGATGACGTTGATAAACAATCGTCATCCTCTGGCGTAACCTGGATGCCCACCTCCACGGGGTTGGACGCTTTCTTCAGCTCGCTTGGCGAGGGCGAGGGCGGCTTATCCACAGCCTTCTCCAGGCAGAGACTGCCATTGCATTGTTTCCGTTTGTGCTCGATAAAAACCAGAATGTCCCCCAGCGGGAAGTTCATCTGACACTGGCCGCAGGTGAGGAGGTCGTGGTCCCCTTCCGGAGCTCCCAGCGCGCCGTGCTCGGGCTCCTCATCGGTGAGAATGGCTTCGAGAGGTTCGGCTGCAGGCGGGAGACAAAAGGAGCAGCGTTAGCACGGGGGGCCACGCGCCGGGCCCATCCTCGCCGGCTCCGTACCCGTGGCCACGCGTCCCCCCGCCACGGYGGCCGGGCCGGGAGTGGGAGCGTTGCCACCAGAGCCGCTTTCATCCACGAGGACAAATTCCCCACTTGCTCCAACAACCCGGTGGTAAAACCAAAACGAACGRGCTTTAAGGACATACTCTCAAACTACGGTGGTGCAGGAGAAGTCCCCACCGCGTTTTACTGCCGGGTGTTATTATTTACGTGCACGAATTGGGGGCTGAGGCCAGCATGCGCGCGCCGGCTGCCTCGCGCACACGTGCCAGCCACGCTGCCCCGCGCGCAGCCTCGCCGGCAGCACGTGCGCACACGAGGTGTCGCGGGCTCCCTCCACGGGGCGCCTCCCGCACCGGGGCCGCCCCGGGCAGCGCGCAGCGCCCGCGGCTTCCCCTTCGAAACCCCGCAGCGCCCCAGCTGCGCCCCGGGCAGCGAAATAAATAACAGGCGGCTAAAGGGCCAAAACCGAGCGCGGCAAAAACTCCTGCGGCGGTGGGGGGGCGGCCACACTGCCTTGCACCCACTCCTTGGGAGCGGAGCAGGTATCAAATCCACTGGCAGTTCCACCCATGGATATTAACTGGACAGGATATTTTTTAGCACTTAACAAAATAAGCCAATTAGTCATTTTCTTTTTTTTTTTTTCCACCCTGAAAGAGGAGCGCCTGAATTAGCTTAAACATGTTAGTACTGGTGGCCTTCAGCGCAGAAAAATCAGGCTGGCCGGGCGACCGCCACATCTCATCACACGAGTGAAAAGCGCTTTCTTTAAACTCCAAATACCTCGCCTAATGTTGTCAAAGTTGACAAATTTTCTGAATGAGCTCCAAAAAGCTTCATTATGAGGCTACTTCTGCTCGCATAATCACCCGCGGATGCTGTAACGAGGCAGACAGGGCTTGCTTTCCTGCTCGCTTGCTGTTGCTTTTCTCCTTYCCCCCCCCCCCTTTTTTAACTTTGTAGGGAAATCTCTCGGCAGGGAGTGCAGGACCATTGCCGCGGCCTTCCGCGCGGGCGGCACGGTGGTGCCGGGAGCCCGGGCGGCCGCAGCGGGGCTGCAGGGTGCAATGTGAGCGAGCCCCCGTCGCGCGCGGCCAGGTAGGGGCAGGCAGCCGCGGCGCGACTCTCCAACAGTTAATCAGCCTGACCTTCTTTAGCAAGCTGCCAATTTCACGTTTAATGAACTTAAAGCCACAGAGAATCAAAAAATAGATTTTAATTTGACTGCACGCTATTGGAACTGCTTTTGATAAAGTGCAAAAATGYGGTGAACTCAGGTTAAATTTATTTCAACCCCACCTAGGCTCAATATTGAAGGAGGAAGATCTGGAGTAGCTCCCAGTTGTGCCACGTGAAATAACGTTGCRGGAGCACCCTACCCCGCCGCACCTCGGCTCCAACTAGGACACGGGGACAGGCGGCCGTGCTCTCTCGCCTCTAGCGCTACTTCTAATTTAACGGCAGGTCAGCCACAGGAATATGAAGGTCGCGCTCGCATTAATAAAAACAATCCCTTAATTGCCGGGGGTTTCTGCTTCAACTTGCAGCGCGCCCGGTGCCGCTGCGCTGCGGAGGGCAGAGCGGGAGGTTGCGCCGGAGCCCGGTGCATGCGGCAGCRTGGCCGGGGCCGAGCGGCGCGGCGGCTCCGCAGCCCGCGGGCTCCATCGCTCCGGCTCCGATGCCGGCCCGGCCGGGGAAGGCAGCGCGGGGCCTCGGCAGCGAGCAGCTCCATGCGGCCCCCACCAAAAAGCGACTTTGCTGAAGTCTCTGCTGCCCGGGCTGATTTATAATCAAAAGCAGGAAATGAAGTGGTAATTCAGAGGTTGCTGATTACACCTCCACATTTCACCTAATTAATTTTATAGGAGGCAAAGTTCTTGAAAATAACAAGACGATCAAATGTACAGATATAAAACCTGTAACCTCAACGTTTTCTATGCTCTTAACATAAATTATTGCTAATTAACGAGAATTATATACTAATGTATGAAATACAGCTGGCACCGGGCTCACTGCAAAACACGCAGCTCCTGAAGGAGGCGGCGGCAGCAAGACGCGCCTCGGTTATTCCTGCTACTCTTCCCACTTCAGAATTAAAATGCAATGAAACAAACGGGGAGGGCGGGAGCTGCGCGGGGGCTGCGCGGGGCCCGCGGCCGCGGGACGCCCCCCAGCCCGCGCCCCG